TCTTCAACCACGACAACGGCGTAGGCGTAGACATGAGCAGCAACATCTCCATGACGAAGCTGACGATGGGAACTTGTAGTTTGTCTTTTGTATTGCATTTTTTCTTATACAGTAGATGTTGTAGGAACAATTTACAACATTTGACGTATTTTCTTTTGTAAAGTCTTGTATGTTGTCTTGATGTGTTCGAGTATGAATATTAGATGATTACTTGTTATGAGTATTGGATGATTGTACTGTGTTATACCGGTTATGAATGTAAGGTTTTGTATTTGATTTGCAAAGAGTATTTTCAAGGTGTTTTTTATGTTGTTGAGAGTAGGTGTTATGTATGTGATTGTGAAGACGTGTGTTGTATGTTTTATAATGTGTTGTATCTGGCTCGTAACACTTAAACAGGAGAAGAGAGACCTTATTTATAGCAAACAGATGAGTCCGGGTTGAACTGGACCGAAAAACCTGCTGAAATGCTGTTTTCGGACTTAGGCACGATCGTGCGTCCCAGGGTACGCACGATCGTGCGTCCCAGGGTACGCACGATCGTGCGTCCCAGGGTACGCACGATCGTGCGTGGCTGGTAGTAGCTGCTGGCCTTCGGTCATATATCAGGGGTAAGTCTCCCAACGGTTGGGCGACTTACCCCTGACCGTGGTTAAGGCCAGCAGTAGATCGGTAATAACTTTCTTCCCAGCATTATTTTCGTAATTAATTAATTAATTAGCATTAATTCGAAAAAAAACTCAAATCTCTCAATAATGATTCTTTTATATGCAAAAAAGTGTGACACACCAATTGGTTCAAAAGACATAAGGTCAATATATACTGAAACATTGACATTCTGGATACAAAAATGAACAAAACTAAACCATTGACATAGAGCACGGCATCAATAATAGAAACATTTCAAAAGATCGATAATCCAACCTTCTCAAATGAGAAAGATATTCCAAATAATGATGGAAACATTGATAGTTATGAAATCTCAATAAACTATGTTTCTATTGGAATGCAATGAAATCAAAAAGCTATTAATATTAATGAGATATTTGTCTATGTTATTGTTATGAATGTCGTGAATGAAAATAATGGCAATGAACCAATTTTAGATAGTATCGATGAGGACATGATTGATCAAAATGGAATGAAGCAATTCAGACAAAATTGAAATCACTTTAAAAATGTCATGCCAAAATGCACAAAGTCAATGTGTTTTAAATGGATCGTTATGCAAAAAAACTCGTGGAAATTACCCGTTTAAGCCATTTTGTGGCCCGTATATCATTAATGTCCCAACTGTTTTTCCCTTTCACTTTTAATCTTTTTTGTTTTCAATTATGTTTTTTTATTTCAATTTTAGACTAGGTTTCTGTCCACCTCCTCTTCTGTATATCACTGGAGAGATGCAAATCAATTTCCTATTTACCGTTTCTCTTCCCTTTTGCAACAGCCGCTGGGAAGTTTGGAGAGCGGCAACGAGTCCCAACTCTCTTCTCAGGAGCGGCACCGTCCATGGAGCTATTTTATTCTGGAGATGGAGGATTAGGAATCCCCAGCAACTGTCTCCCGTATGTTCTTCGCAAACGGATGACAAATCATCTCCTTGGCAAAATCTCAACCAGAAATCTCTTCTTCTTCTCTAAAATAAGTAGGTAAATCAGATCAGGCCTTTGACGACATTAGCTTTCGACGGCAACTGGACGGTGGCCCCTCCTGAGCTTCAAACAACGATTCTCGAGAACTTCAACATCAAATTAGCGCACCGACAAGCACCACACAGACAACAACATTGAAGAACTTCGATCGGCGCTTCTCGAGACGAACTTCAACATCAAATTAGCGCACCTACACTTGACGTAAAAGGTTTTTCCATCAAAGTACTAAGAGGTATTCCAGGTTATTTAAGTTGTTTTTTCTCACTCCAATTACCTTAAGACCAAATGTTAAATTGCTTTTCAAATGTTAAATTCTGTTGTGAGGATGTGAAGCAATGAGGATGAAGCATTTTCCCTTGAGGCAACTGGTCGATTGGCTCAGATTGAGGAGTAAACGAGCTCCAATCATCACCAAGTTACAGTATGTTGTTTATGCACTAAACCTTCATATCATATAGTCAAATTTCATGAGTTTTCATTCATCCAGTGACTCCTAGTTCATATGCTTCTATTGTTGATTAGAGATGATGGATTGATGCACCTAGATATTTAAAGTTTATTAGTGGAGGCCTTTTGATGCCTTTTACACTGTCATGTGGTTATTTGATCTGTACTTTGGGGTTTCCTTGCAATATTTTATAGTGTTCTGTGTTCTGTTTTCTATTATAAGATAAATTTTGTTTTTTATTCTTTTCAACAATTTTGTGTCCATTCTCCTTTTTTTATTCCTTTTTTGCTAATGTGCATTTAGGGGTAAAAAATTCATAGCTTCTTTTGTGTTTTTTTATTCATTGATGTTAACTATAGGCTTGGTTGTTTTATTATATAGGTAATACCTCGTATAGTTTAATTATTATCAATTTATGATTTTCATTACATTTCAATCTAAATAAATCAGTGAAAAATGTTAATATAATTCATTAGATTAATTTCATGGTGCTTGACTTCCACTTTGGTTTGTTGTTCACCAAAGTGGATGATAAGGGTGTTAGTTTTCTTTTTAATTATTTTTAAGCTTTGCATTTTGGGGTTGTGTTTGTGCTTGGCAGGTTTTGGGTGCTCTAATTCCCTATGACTCTGTTATTGGTATGCCTGTGTTGTATCAACCCGTTAAGAGACTGGAGGGAACAAATTCTCATTCATAAAATTGGGATTATAAGCTCTATGTTGGGCATTCATATTCTTTAGTGCATTTATTTGTATGTGTGTGGTAGGGGGAGTGGAGAGGAGGTGTTAAAATCTTTGTAACCATGTTGTGTCTTCTAATCAATAAGAGGGTATAAATTAAAATAATCGACATTATATTTTCTCTGTGTCATAAACCACTAACTTGATTAGTTGATTTGACTTATAAGGTATCAGTAATTTGAGTTCTGATCATCTGATGGGTATTCTCTGGTTGTAGTATCGACAAATGAGACGAAAAGAACAAGACCGGCTTGCAAGGATGGATGCGGATTACCACAAAAGGAAGTGTCTGAATTCAACAAAAGATAGGAGATCAGCCTGTTTCACACCGCCTTTCTCTCGCAACAGCTCTCCCTCCCTCTCATTTTGCAAAATTGTTAATTAGGAGATCAGCCATGAAATCGCATTACAATGCATTTGACGAAGAAGTGCATCAAAGCTATGAAGTCAATGCATTTGCTGATTTGCGAATGGCAGCACTGTTACTAGATCAGGTTCACCCTTTTCTTAAATGTTGGCTAATACTTTTGGATTTGGCCAAAAGCATGATGCTATTGTTGATATACCACTAGGTTCCGTGAAGGCTCCCAATACAAAAGAGAATGAACTGGCAAATTGGGAAGCTGAATTGAAAAGGAAGGAAAACAAAATTAAACGAAGAGAAGATCAGCTCTATGGTGTTGGTGTTCCTGTTTTGAATGATAAGAATCAGTAATTGGCTTCCCTTTTTTGTTGTAATACTTTTTAAAAAATCTTTGTTGCCTTTTGTTGTATCATATGTATCATATTTTGTTGCATTGTGTTTCATTTTGTTGCATCATGTTACTTTTTGTTTCACCATGTTGCTAATTATTATATATTGTTTTTAGTTAATTTAGGTGTCTATTTACCTTTGCTACTTCCTCAAAAACAAATCTATATATATTTATATACAAATCTAAAATGATAAGTTTGAATTTACAAATATAAACAACAAGAAACATATAGAAACAATAAAATAAAATAAAAATCAGAATTATCAATAAAAAGAAAAAGAAATAAATGATAGGAAAAAAACTAACAATAAAATGATATACAATAATTAAAAAGTTATGTGTAATTTTTAATTTTACACTGGAAAAAAAAGAAACAAAATGCAACAAAGAGTAAATAACAAAATTGTGATAATAATTAATTTTTTTAATATAACAAAAAACTTATAAAATTCAAATATTGTTTTCCTCTATTTTTTGTATTTATAATTTTTGGTGTTCATATTTTTTACTATTTAATTTGTTTGATTAAATATATCATTATTTTACATTTTCTGCAGCTTTTTTGTATAAAAATTATAAAATATTTAAACAAAACTTCAATAGAAAAATCAAATTTTTTCAGTTCTCCACTATTTTAAACTCTTTTACATTTTACTGTCGAGTTTTAATATTTTATAAATTTTCCATATGTTTACTTTACACTTTTCTGATTTTTAAATTTAAAATTTTAAAATCTAATTTACCAGTTTTCAATTTTGCACTGTTTACTATACATTTTAATTTTTTTCCTTGAGTTTTTTAATTTAATCCTAGTTCCTGGACTTTTATTGTGTATTTAATTATTATTATTATTATTATTATTATTATTATTATTATTATTATTATTATTATTATTATAATTATTATTATCTTTTAATTTTTTGATGAACTTTACATTTTATCTAAAACCAGAAAAAAATTAACAATCCTTGCACTTTGTATTACTTTATCAATGAGAGAAGAAATATGTACGTTGCTACTACAGTACTACATGAAGAATAGAGGCTCTAGTGGTCCGTTAGAGAGTATGTCTATTTTTGAAAGGAAAAGCTACGTTAGTCCATTGTTGAAAAAACATTTAGGGAGTGACAAAAGTGATATAATTTTAACTTTTGAGCTTATTTGTGATAATTTCCCAAAAAACTCAAGCGCAATGGGGAAAACGAAATCCTAAGAAGGAAAGCCCAATGTGTTGCAAACAATACACACATTTATGTTTGGTCATAGATTTATTTTAAATTCAAGTGCAGTTTTAGATCATTTATTTTCAAATTCAAGGTCTAAGATGGCACATTTTCCTCATATATCATAGACAAAGGCTCACATAGGCCTCTAAACTATTTTTTGTTCAAGACTAAAAGTGTGGTTGATATTCATGGTCCTCTCTATTAACATAGTAATGCTTGCACAGTTCCACTGAAATATCAGATTGATTGGGAGATCCAGTAAAAACAACTATTAGTTTACAAGTATGTGTTCAGAGTCAATATTTCATTCTAATCTAGAAGAGTTCTGGAGATGACTTCAAGAAAACCTCATAATGATAGTGGTAACACACACTAAAGGCTTCAACAAATATGAACTTCAGCAGCTTAGTGTAGAAGTTAAAAAACATCAACAATCTATATGACGCTGGAAAATCAAAGGGTTTACAAGTTAGGAACAAGTGAACAACTCTATCTTACACAAGTGTGGGTCATAGTTACTTGGAATTCTTCTTGGCCTTGAACTCAGAGGCAGCGGCTTTGGCAGCAGATTTAGCTAGAGTAGTGGGTTTCAGAGAACTTTTAGGGTTTAATGCTTTTCTGATTTTGAAAACGGTCCAGGCAGTCCCCATCGCATGCCCTGCAGCTTCAAGCCCTTCACTTGTTGCCTTCGCTGCCTCATCCCCATACCTACAAAAGCCAAATCCTCAACTAAGCTAATGTTTAACTATCAGTGTATCACAACAGCTCCTTCATATCTTCCTAGAGTGAGTGTGTGTGGGGGTGTGGTTGGGGCACAGATAAAGCATCAAGTATCATCGTAGTACTGCCCCAGTATTCAATTCAGTCTATACTTGTTAAAAGAATATCTGAATTTTACCTGTGAGAGACTAGTCCAGTTGTCACAGTTGACGATGTTGACATCACATTCTTTCCTGCTACTTCAACAGCATCACATATTCTGCCTAATGAGCAGAAAAGGAAAGTTGAACTTTAATTATTCATATTAATAAAGGAAGGAAGTTACTCCTTCCGTCACCGCTTAAGGTTTCTATTTGAATTGTAGCAAAGGTTTAGCACTCTCAGACGATCACTTAATCATCAAATATTAAAAATATTACACCTATAACATACTACTAATAGTTATCATTAAAGGCCTCACAATATTATATACCCATCAAAACTGCTTCTCAAAATACAGTCTCTCTAACCTTATTTAATTATTGTCTAAATATCGTGCCATTTTCAATTAGAAGTTCAAGTCGGGACAGATGTAGTACATGTTTGGTTAATTGGACGAATTGAGTGTTTTTATGTTTGAAAGAAATACTCACATCAAAATATGCAATGGAATAAAGCAAAATGGCTCACTACACTGTCTGAGCTTCTTTGTTATGAAGCAGCAGTCAGTTCATGCAATTTTGGACGCGATTTTCACTATGGGTCATCCGGAAACAGTCTCTCTGTGCTTTAGTACAGAGGTAAGACTGCGTACATCCGACCCCCCCCCCCTACCCCACCGTAGGTGGGAGCCTTTGCGGCACTGGGGTAAATGAAAATGAAAATGATGACTCTCACATCCAAATATTGAAGAGAGAAACATGGGTTTATAAGAACTTGAAACTAGCTAATTGATTAATCAAATCTTTTAGTGTGGTTTGATCCAAGTGTATACTGACCCAATTAAGCGACAACAATCAGTTGAACCATTTCAAATATCTTAACGATAAACCATGCTCCAACAATACTTTGAGACCTGGGATTGGGTGGGAGGAGGCACTATAAGTGTATTACTTGTAATTATTTTACATAATGAAGCTTTGCAACAGATAATGATTCAGATGTTTATACCAAACTTGTTTCTCCTAATTCTCGCATTGTGGCAACTCGTGAAAGTGGTGCATAGATAAGGGGATACCATAGGTATCTCGTAAAACTGTGGACAGTGTTTCCACTAGGAATAGAACTCTTGATCTGCACTAAAGAAAATAGTGTTGTTTGGTCCAAATACACTATTGCTTGTTGTCATCCATATAAACATGTAGAGTTAAAATTTGTGAGAAAAATTATGCACCAAGGTTCTACAAAAATGTTATCCTACCTACATAAATGTTATGTTGTACATAAACAGGTTCTACGATTATACATGAGTACCGGTCAGTGATGTGTTATTTTTATTTTATTTTAATGTTACCTAGGTATATACTATTTGGTATATATCGGAGTATCAAATATGTCATTATGGAATCGACAGAAATGTAGGTGCAACAATGTGAAAGTAAAGGTAAAAAAGTAAATGAATGTAGGGAACTACAACTAATGACTGGAGTCGGGTCATGGCATTGCACTCATCAGAAGGGAATTAGTTCATGGGCCTTTATTTAATAAACTAAAACTTACCAAAGTAATCAAGAGGAAAAGGTTATGGATCTTAAAAGGTGTAGAAACAACATTTGAAATAAAAGTAGAGATCCGCTTGACATACTAAATCCATCCAGTGTGGCAAGTACCATTTCCCCAGGCAAGAGGCTGAAAAACTTCTTTCCTACTGAGGAGTTAGCAACAGAGCTGGTAACAAACCCTGAAACCTTAACAACTCCTGAAAGAACCCCGCTAGCCACTTTCTCAGTCATACTTGTCACCCTTTTTACCCTGTGAACAACCAAATGAGGACCACATAAATTCAATATGTAGTATAACTTTTCCCGTTATTAAACCATTAATTCATCCAGAATATGATGATAAGACATTGATAAAATCAATTAATCATCATTTACCCCAGTGCCGCAAAGGCTCACACCTACGGTGGGGTAAGGGGGGGTCGGATGTAGGCAGTCTTACCCCTGTACTAAAGCACAGAGAGACTATTTCCGGATGACCCATAATGAAAATCACGTCCAAAAAATCACGTCCATAACAAAGAAGAGCAAACAGTTTGATGAGCCATTTTGCTTTATTCCATCATATTCTCAAGCCAAAAAATAATGAATCTTTGGCTCCATTGCAAATGATGGAAAATGATAACACATTGATGAGTGAGGAAAAAATAAACCAAATGTTTATCGCCTCATGTGGGTCGAGGGTGTAGGACATTTTTCCTTTTTGCAAAAACAATACATGCAGGCAAACAACACCAAATCTGACTTAGCTCTTCCCCAAAGCCTCAGTCTAGTTGAATTAAAAGAATATCATATACAACTCCCAAGGTTTATTAAAAAAATGTATTACTAACCATTATGGAACACAGTAGATATCATTTATGTCTACTGATATTTTTAAATTACACATAAATGATACAACACTGATATGAGCAAGGAAACCTTATATTATTATTATTACTATTGTTGTTATTATTCCTATTCTGTTTTAAGCAGCTTCTTAATTAACATTTATCTCCTTTTCTAAATATTCCTATTCTGCTTTAGTTAACTTCTTAATTAGTATTTATTTCATTTTATAATTAGGACTCTTGTAATATCTATATAAGGGTCATCCATATTATTCAATAAACCACTTCTGAAGAATTAATTCTTGTGTGTCTTGACAAGCTTACCGATTAATTCTAGGCTTCTAGCTTAGGTTTATTATAGGAAAAATTCACAAGAATAATCCCAACTATTTGAGGTCTTCATATATTAATACCAAATATATATAGTTCTAAAAATCTCAAATATACCAGCACCCTTCCCAACCGGTATAAATAATTAAAAGAACAGAAAACTGAACACCCTAATTCTTCATCTTCTCCCGAACCATTCCTTCGTCTCTAACAGCCTGAATTCTCACTTTCTCCTTTTTTTTAATTTTCTTTTCTCTTCTTTTTTCTTCCCCTACACCACATTAGTAAATCTCCTTCCCACCTTCCTTTTGTTCTTAAATTTGCTCCTCAAATGTTCAATTTGAGATTTGCAAGGTTTAATTTCATCAATCCAACTCAAATGTGGCACTATTCATCAATGTTGATGATGAAACTTGAATGATGGACTATATACGACAGAGGACGGAGGCCACTTGCAGTCAGCTATGTCACACCAACTCCATTGCTTCCAACTTCGGTGGCACCTCCACAAAAACTAAAATGCTGAAAACTTCTCTTTCTGGGCAGTGTTTTACACAAGATGAGCTATCTCTGCCATATGCCAAGGTCACCAGACCACTTCTTTCTATACCAGATCTGATAAGCTATGCTACAACTGTTCAATATATCGTTGGGAGTGTCAATAAAGCATGCCGATGTACCTTCATCTGAGGTTGTAAGCCCATTGAATAGTCCGCAAGAAGGGATATTTATTTCATCAACAACATTGCATTGGCAATTTCCATCGGACCTAGGGTTTTAACCTATTATGCTACACTTGGGCTCTAATCTCTTCGGGTAAACAACTGCCAAACGTCTCTGTTATGTATTTCGCTTCCACAAGATATTCAATGGACATGGAGAAGGAGAGGAAAGATAGAATCCCGTGTTCAAGGCTTCCGCAGGTCCATATATTCAAGTTTTCGGGAACAAAGAGATGCTAAACTTTAACTCAATATTTAAAGAAGTTTTCAAACAGAGATTTGTAAAAGGGTGCCATAAAGAAAAAGGTTAAGGTAGCAGATATTTATTGCCTAGTGAATAGAAGGGTAACCGAAATGTATCCAAAACTTAACAAAGAGAACCGAAATGTAAATGTCAGGAGAAGAAAATATATCACCTTCTATTCACTTCAAAGCAACAGGTAAAAATAACATCAACATAACTTTTCATGCTTATGTTTTCCATTCCAAATACTCCACATAGAGCTTAAATTTTAAACATTAACAATTTGACGAACTTGGATGAAAACAAATATCTGTGAAAGCTAGTTTAAGCACAATAATTTAATAGAGGCAAAGATAGTGCCTCAAAACATAGTCAAGCAGAATTCACAACAGTCTATCTAGAAAAGCACATAAAGCCGAACCTTTTGATCCTTTTCATGGTCTGAGGACTAACCTCGGCATTGGAACCAGGGGCAACCCTATTCCTCATAACCTCATCCCCCCACTTCAATCTATCCACAGTGACATCACCGCACCACAAGATACCTTTTATCAGCTTCCCTGACCCGGAAGCCAGCAATTTCGCAGCTGAGCTACTGTAATCCTCCACATTGGGCGCCAAAGTTGTCCAATAAGCTGCACACCTCTCCTCCAACACCTCCTTCTTATTCTCTAACTCCAATTCAGCAGGGGAGACCTCCTGGGCCACTGTACCTCCCAAAACCTCAAACGCCTTTTCCTCCACCCTCTGAACGGAGAAGCTGGTAACACTGTCCAGAATTTTATCAAGCTCTTTGATCAAATTATCCTGGCCTTTGGAAGCAATTGTAAGCCCATAGTTCAACACGTCATTCCCCACATCTTTTTCTTTTTCTTTGAGCTTCTCTTTCTTCTTCCCCTTTCCTTTCTCCTCCTCATCACTAGAATCTGAATCACCATCCTGGCTAGGAGCTCGAAAGGAGAAGAAGTAATGTGAATGGTCAAGCTTCACAGAGGCCAGGTCCTTGGTTAAGGGCCACTGGATGTCATCTGCGACCCTGGCGAAGACAGCAACGGTGCTGTTCCCCTGGCGAAGACGGTGCAGTAACAATTCGCCGGTGGCAAGCTCGACCGAGTACTGTTTATCAATCAAGTGGAGGATCGTGCCCGGTACAACGAGGAGGCTTTCTTCAACGGCCTCCGGAGGGGCAGACGGGGAATGAGGATGATTCCCACGGCCAGGAAAAAGATTCTCCGCATCCTTGGTGTCTACGACGGGGTACATAGGAGCCGGGTGGGAGGAAGAAGGCGAGTGATAGAAGGGATTTTCGAAATCCGGGTCGATCACTTGCGGGTACATGGGTTCCTGAGAAGCCATTGAAGAGAGGGAATTAGGGATTTGGTCGTTGGGTTCCTGAGAAGCCATTGAAACCAATTAAATAAGTGTGGGCAATTTGCCGCGCAAGCACCGCCAACTAACTTTAAATACACACAATGGAATGAAAGAATATAGGAAACATTTAACATCCTCGCTTCATTCAAAAAGTAATTGAATGAGAATGAATTTTCAGTTGATCTTTTCCTACTTCTAAAAGATGGTTAGTATGAAGATTTTGAATCTTTTACATACAGAGCACAGAAAGCAATTTTAAAAAATCCAAACACTTCTTATAAAGCACAGCCGGTTTTTAAAAAATAGATCCAAACACTTCCTGTAAAACACATTCAGCATGTTCTACAGAACAGGGTATCCCGATTTATGGGCCCCCGATTTTTCAAAATTTTCTGTATTACATAGCAATAAAATACTATGGGTATATTAATACTAATCAATAAAATAAAGTTTTTTGCCAATTCTTTACTCCTGTTTTACTTAAATTGATTGCGTGATGAGTTGTGTTGCTTTAGATCAAGTATTAAGTGATTTTTAGAATTTTTTTTACATTATAGGATAAGTATTCAATTGATTTCATTATAAGTATTTAGATTGAGATTTTTTTGATTTTTTATATTAATATGGGCCTTGATTTTACGTTTAGAATGGGGTCTCCAAATTCATTAGACGGCTCTGCTATAAAGAATTGAGAAACACTATCCAGCTTCCAAGTAAAAGAGAAAGAATGATTACTCCTACCTTCCCCTACCTTTTTCTAAGACATTCTTTTCAGTTTCGATATAAATTATTTAAAGAATTTGTTGGATCACATAAATCACGTAAATCCAACAATCTCACATAAAAATAAACAATTAAAGGAGAGTGTTGAATACAAGAATGGTTTTACCTTTTTTTAGAAAAAGAATGGTTTTACCTTTTTTTAGAAAAAGAATGGTTTTACCTATTATAGAATGGTTCTTTCTTCTCTCAAGCTAGCGAATGTAATAAATGCCTACACTTGTCTACGAAACTTAGAGCTACGAATCTCAACCTCCAGATTCAGCATATTGCGGTTCGGTTTCGGGCTTCTCATTTCACGGACCAAGACCTGCCGGTCTGGGACCAGAACTGAGACCAGAATCGAAACCAGGCCGGAATTGGGACGGGACTTGGTAGGCATGGAGCCGGGTTGGTCCAAGTCGGCCCCGGGCCCGACCCATTGGGGGACTTTTTTTTACCAATTTCTTGTTTACCTATTTTTTCTATTGCGGAAGATTTTTTATCATCTGTCTTAATTGCATTTACTAAAAAATTTGTCTGAATCCTTTAAATTGAAACTCAATGATAAACTTGAGAACTCACCAACTTGTTATGGTTTTTTCCCCGTTTTTTCAAAAGCAGACATCAACAATAAAGCATGAAGTCTATTTAGCATATCCTTCTCTCTCAACTTTTTGATCAAAATATCGTTTATCAACGTTATATCTTTTTTTATTCTTCCGTGGGAAGGCCTGTTTAACAAGGGAAGGGATCATATTTGCTGGTAAGCATTCTTTTCTAGTCTCATCATTGTGTATAAATAACCGCATTTTGTTATTTTTTGGGATTTAAGCATAATAAAAGTTTGTGTAACTATGGCCGCCGATCCTAGAGTACACTCTGGAGAAGATCAATCGCTCGATGTGGTTTGAAGCAGGATGCACGACCGAGGCGAAAAAAATTTCGGGGTATGCTTGAGCACTGCCAAGTGTGGGAAGGTAAGGTCTCGTTGATATAGTTTGTTTCGATTTTGTGATCGGGTTATCCGATTTGTCGTTTCTGGCCTCGCTTTAGACCCTGGGCGAGAGTGTTGTGTTGCGTTTCGTCTGTAAAAGTCTGATTGTGAGCAGCTCATTTGTCGGTTTGCTTTTGTGTAGTTCGTTTGGTTGGTCTATCTTTTATTATCATGGAGAAAATAGCGGAAGAATACGGAAAGATGTCAATTGAGGAGGAAGAAAACAGTGGGTTGGTGTTTGAATCCGGAGCTCTAAATGTTAATAGTGGGGTGGGAGAGAACCCACATTTCTCTGTTGTTGCTAGGGTTATCACGGATAAACATGTCTGTCTTATCTCCTTCAGGGAAACAATGGCTATGATCAGGCGCCCGAGTAAAGGTGTGAGAATCGAACAGATAGGAGATATGCGTTTTATGATTCAGTTCTTTCATGAGAGCAATGTCTCACGAGTTTTGCAGGATGATCCCCTGGTCTTTTGACCATAATCTAGTTGTTAAGTAGGGTGGAAGCGAAGGACAGACAACTGGAGGTAGAGCTTAATCACGCAGAATTCTGGGCGCAGATCCACAATTTACCTCTCAGTTTTATGACTGAGACAGTGACGACTGGTATTGGCTAATGCATGGGGAAGCTGGTCAGAATTGATGAAAGAACTCTCAAAGGGAAAAGTAAGGAGTTTGTTCATATACGTGTGTTGAAAGATATAAGAAATGCTCTGAAGAGATCTAATCTCTAGGCATGGCAATGGGTCGGGGCGGGGCGGGTACTGCAAGACCCGGACCCGCCCCATGACTTGGCGGGGCGGGTCCGCCCCGCCCCGTGACCTGCACAGGTCCAAACTTGTTGACCCGTGACCCGCCCCATGCGGGGCGGGGCGGGGCGGGTCCGCCCCGCCCCACCGTAACCTAATTAGCTAATATGTATTTCTATTTGTGGGAAGTTGTTACCAATTGAATCTACATAAAGTTTATCTCTGAATAATAATTAAAAATTAATATATTAAATCAAATTCATGATACGCTAAAAATTTTAAAAATTGAGGAAAAATTACTCAGACTTGAATAGTTAGTCTATTTAATTATATTAATAATTGAATACATGTATTAAAATGCTATATATAACGCATACATTGATAATCCGTCGTTCATCTCATTCTAATATATATTAATATATTATAAGATCAAAAAATTTAATATTTATTGTATAAACACATATGAATGTTGAAATATATTTGTAGTATAGTTTAAGAAAAAGTATGTACACTTTTATATTGAGCGGGGCGGATCAGGGCGGGGCGGGGCAGCACGGGTCAATACTAAGACCCGGACCCGCCCCATTGTATAGGCGGGGCGGGGCGGACCCGCCCCATTTGCAAGACGGGGCGGGCCGGACCTGCCCCGAATGTCTCGGGCCAGGGCGGGTCATTGCGGGTCGGTTTTTTTTGACATCCCTACTAATCTCCATTATATTGTATTTTATTGTGTGTGTGTGTATGTGTGTGTGTAAGATAAAGAAAGACCGTGGATATGGTTGAATGGTAAAATTTCTCTTTGCCAAGAAGAAGATGCGGGTTCGATTCCCACTATCCACACAATATCCAAATGAAAGAGAAAAATTACGTCAATCCATTGAAATATGGTATGTTACAAGTAAGTATTTGCGACAAGCAATGAATCCTAATTTTAGGATCACTGACACTTTGAATCCAATTCATATAATGTCTTTCTCCGGAGCTAGAGGAAATGCACCTCAACAAAAATCAATACACTTTAATATATCTTGTAAAAGAAAATACTCATATATGGTGGGTTTATGAAAAATAAAAATAAATTCTTCAGTCCTCTTTTATATCTTGCATTTGTAGTCTTTTGCTCTGGTGGATTTATTTCTTATTGAATAAGGTCGCTTGCACCTTTCTTCATTCTCCTCGCTCAGAACCTTATTCAAAGCATTGAGCAAAGAGTATACGGAGGGTGAGTCATGGCCTAAGATCAGGCAAAAGGTGTAGTCGATGGACAACAAGTGAATACTCTTGTACTACCTCTTGTTGGTCCCGAGGCATAGAGGAGGCTAGGTTAGTCAAACAATGGTTTTTGGTTCAAGAACGTAAAGTGCCCTTTCAGGGTTAAAACGGGTAGAGAAAATGCCTCGAGCCAATGTTTTTCACGGCTTGATAGATAGCCAATCCCGGTTCTAAAAATTGAAGCCCGATACCAACTAGGTTTGGTCCGATATTGGTACCGGTCCGGGTCCAAACAGTACCAGTCCCAGGTCGGTATACACACATTTAATAAAAAAGAATTAAAAACTAGTCGTTTGGCCCAGCGCGGACAAGCCGGTTCCAAAATTGCAAGCCCGAAACCCAACCCTTTTCTGACACGGTCCAGGTACTAGGTCTGTACCGGTACTAGAAAACCGGTGCCGAGCTGGTACTAACAGTACCACTCCCGGATCCGGCCGCCCGGACCCCGTCCATCCCTAGGAGTGGGTCCATGCCTGATTCCACAATGAAACTAAATTAGACATTTGTTCTAATTACTAATATATCAACACTAGTAACGTTTCATAGTTCATACTTCAGCCAGAGTTAAACATCTACTTAAACATGCTCCTTAATAAGTTTTTGAAATCTGCTCAAAAAATAAGTTTTTGAAATACGGTCTATAATAGCATCTTAATCAAATCTTTTGTCATAATAGAATTAGGGCTGGGACTTTGGAACCGAGAACCGGAGAACTGAACCGTTATGACTCGGTTCGGTTCCGTTCCAAAATTTATTAGTTATTTGTTAATGGTTCGGTTCCTATTTTTTATTAACGGTTCGGTTCTATATATAATTAAAATTTTATATACTTCTTATTAGTATATACTACCTCCGTCCCGTTGGAAGGTTCCCATAGCAAAACGACACGGTTATTTAGGTGATAATTAAATAAAGTACTTCGAGTATATTTTGAGAAATAATTTTAATAAGTATATATTATAATGTAGTTAGTATTGATAATTGTGATGTTATAAATGCATTATTTTTAATATTTAATGATTAATTTGTCACTTAAGATTTTTAATTGTTTCCTAAAATGGAAATGGAAACCTTCTAATGGGACGTCCAAAAAAGGAAAGCGGGAACCTTCTAACGGGACGGAAGGAATACATTTTAATGTATATTTACTTATCTATTTTTATATTACATTCACTATTTTAGTTTAGTTATTTAACTATTTAAAATTATTTTTCATTTTAAGTGGTTGTGGTTCTATTGGGCTTCTTTAGAGAATATCTTGTTTTGTTTTATTTACTAAAATTTGTGGCTTGTAATGTATTTATGTTTTAAACTCAACTTTTGAGGTTTGAAATGTGTTCAGCTTATTTGTATTGTAATTAAAAACATTGAATGTCTTTTTGGTACAAATTTAACCATGATTTGTAGGGAATTTTTTAAAGACTAGAAACCGTTAAATGACAAGAATCGAACTGTTAAGAATGGTTCGGTTCCTTTTCGGTTCTATAAAATAATTTATAAGAATTGAACCGTTAGTAAAATTTCATATTTTAAACAGTTTCACATATTTTGCCTAGGAACCGAACCGGTCCCAGGCCTAAATAGAATAGAATACATTTAAGATTTGAGCATTTTCATTTGAATTGGGTTATGAAAACGAGGCCCTATTGAAAATTTGGCTCTATTAAACTGTTTAACGGATGATAGTAATACCATGTACTTGTGGTGTCAAACTATGCTACCATTGCTGAATGATAAAAAGCACCGAGCATACAGATGTACGGTTCTGGAATTGTTACCTTCGCACTTCATAATTAGCATAACACCCACAGGGCACAGGCCACAACCAATGAAATCACATTAAGGAAATGTTAATAGCGAAGAGAATCACAGCTAAACTCGACTCAGTTCGAACACATTGAAATTATCAACTAGCCCTCTGCTGGAGGAACATAAATTTATAGTTACATCCATTATACAAGGTCCTTTGATGAGAAACTAAATTCCAATAGTCGGTTCTTATCAATCAACATGAGCATCTGAAAGACATGCAAATGCTGAGTACAACCCAGAATCTTGAAAATAACAGCTTCATACGCATAAATATCCCAGTCACTTTTTCTCCTCCTCTTTTGGATCCTTGTCCTCATCTTTCTCCTGGGTCTAATTAGGCAAAAAAAAAGAACACTAAATACTTGTTCACAAACAATTAACTGAACACTATTTGTACGCTCTCACACTTTATACACAGTATAAATACCCCTCTTGGCCTCTCCCCTTCACCATTCCCTCCCCCCTAAACATCTGCATCCTCCTTTATGGTCACGCAGAAAACTGTAACGCTGGTTTGTGTTCTGTGTGAGAAAATCTTATCCAAAAACTCATATTTTGTTAACACAAACAACTATTGTATGTGAGCATCAACGATTTGCACGCACACTTTTCTCATAAAAATCTATCTATCAGAAAACCCCGTAATTTATTCAAAGGCAACTATTGTACATATGAACAGACATTGGTTTGTGCACCCGTCGGTGTACCTTTGACATGAAAACAAATGTCAGGGCACCAGACAAGAGTTGCAACAACAGTTAACAATAGTTGTCGTTTATGCCCGCACATAGTTGTCTGTGTCAACTCATAGTTGCCCTTGCATGTGAGTATGTGACCGACGAAATGTGTAAACAAAGTGAGGATAGAATGTCTTTATAAAAAAGATCAAGTATTGTCCGCTTTTATATCTTTCCTAATTTTTCCATCTAAACACACCATATATCTATACACAAAGCATAAAGGTGAGAATATAATTAAAGTAAATCAATCCATCACATATGAAAGGAAAAGTGGTCAAGCTTGACGAACAAATACCAACACCTAGACTTGACTCAATAAGACCGTGTAACTAGGGTTCCCTAATAAGACAATTAAATGATTCTTTGGCAGAATGCCAGAGACCAAGAATGGCAAAAAAATAGGACACCTGTGCAGTTTTAGTTTTGACTAGACGATATAAACTCACCTCGGACTGACTTTGCATGGAAGCTAGTAGATCTTTAACTGATGGATCATTGGGGTCCACACCTGGAAGCTGTGTATAATGAGATGCACTTTGGCCATTAGCAATATGCCAATGTCATACATGTCTCCTAAGATACGTACAAAAAGTTTGATACTGAAAAAGAATCATGAATGAGTAATGCATCTAAATACTTACAGAAGCAAGAATAGAAGACACAAAAGACTGATCAGCCAACAACTTGCTCATGTCAGTCGGATTTGACTGGTCTTTTGTACTGTCTTGCACTGATAATTGAAGGGCTGCAAGAATTACCAAGATAACAAATAAGATAAAAGCTACAGCTACAATAAAATAAAATAAAAATATATGTGTATGAGTCAATTCAAACTATTTTAAGAGATCATAGTATCTCCGGATACTAAATTGTTGACCAGAGATACACAAGGGCTATGAGCCTAGCAGAAAGTCCAACCTAAACAGTGCCATTTGAGTTTCAAAGTTGGACTTGGCTTTTAATAAACCTAAGCGGAGACAAGTTCTTTCAACCTTGGAAGAATGAAAGAAAATTATGAAGGGTACCTTTAAACAATGCTAGCATCGACCTATTTGAACTATATTTTGAAAGGGTCAAAGGGATAAGTAAGTGAAAAGGCTTTCCTAACAGGACGAAA